TAAGACCCCAGCTAGTAGCTGATCTGATTTGAGATTTAGCCTCTCCATTTAGACAGCCTTGTTACATGAGAATTACCAGAGTAATTGGCCAATAGGCAGGATTACCAACTAACCCCTGAAGCCTGAAGGGGAGATATTTATGTTTAAAAACCACTAACCAACACATTTAAAAAAAGGGCAGTACAGTATTTTGCAGCCTCTTAAAGATTTTTGACAATGTTTTGCAGTTACTTCTTGCTAGATTTAAAAAATGTACAGCACTGTCCCATAATTGCTTTTACAGTTTGGTTCCTGGTAGCAGGTCTAATTAGGGTGATCCTCTGTTAGGGAGCCTCCTTCTATGGCAGGCTTAAAGGCAGCAGAGAGAGGTTTCATAAAGCACCTCCTATTTATCCAGTACAGCTCAAACAGAAATACGTAGAAGCCTGGTGTCTCAAGAAGTCCCAGCAAATGCAGACTGTGATTTTCATAATTCAATGAAGGGTCATTGCAAAAAGTTGCAAAGAACACCCTCTATATTTTCATTAAGTATTGATGGGTCACGTAGGTTTGTTTCCACTGATCTTTGTAACCCAGAGCTGCAAATGGGGGAAGAGTCCTTAAGACACCTCTTCGGACTCTTAGTTTTCTTCTGTCTCATTGTGCCTAATCCTAACAAATCCCAGTAGGAGCCTAAACAGCATGAGGTGCTCGGCCTGAAATGCAGCATCTTGGTTGGAATCTTCCCTGCCCTCCTATGAAGCCATGTAGCTGCAGGAGCTGCAGCCTCTGCAGATCTTCAGTAGACTCTCAGGCTGAGCAGAACACAGTCACGATGCTGACAGAAAGTGACTAAAGAAGTGAGTCATCGTAGAAGGTGGAGCTGGACAGGCCTCACTGGAATCCAGTGCTAATCTCCTTCATACAGAAATGGATCCATTAAAAAATGGGCCAAGCGATTTCCTTATTAACAGGGAGCTCAGGATTTGTTATTTATTACTTTTAATCTAAAATTATATACTAGACCAAGTGGTTTCCATATTAACCGGGAGTTCAGGATTTATTATTTATTATTATTATTATTTTTGAGACAGAGTCTCGCTCTTGTTCCCCAGGCTGGAATGCAGTGGCACGATCTTGGCTGACTGCAGCCTCCACCTGCTGGGTTCAATTGATTCTCCTGCCTGAGCCTCCTGAGCAGCTGGGATTACAGGTGCCTGCACGCCTGGCTATTTTTTTATATTTTAAATAGAGATGGGGTTTCACTATGTTGGCCAGACTGGTCTCGAACTCCTGACCTCAGGCGATCCACCTGCCTCAGCTTCCCAAAGTGCTGGGATTACAGGCATGAGCCACTGCACTCGGCCTATTTATTATTTTTTAATCTAAAATTATGTGCTAAAAATCAAGTTAACAAGAATGGGCCTAGCAGCCTGACAGACCTGTGTTCAAATCTCAGCACTTAATGGCTGTGATCTAAAGGAAGCCTCATGTCCTTATTTGTAAAATGGAGGTAGTATCCCTTGTCACAGAGCTGTCATAAGTGAGGCTTATGCTAGCACAGAGTGAGCAATCCAGTAGCAGGAGTGGATACTGTAAGTCTTCAGTCAAACATTCCTACACTTGGACTTGTGTCATTTGTCAATTTCAAATGAGCTAGTCTGTTTTGCAAATGAGCTGCTTTGGGCATATGGATCTTAACATAATTAATAATATGCTTTTATTAAGTTTGTTTTAAAGGTCAGGAAATTGTGACTTTTTATTTTTTTATTTTTTTTTGAGGCAGGGTCTCGCTCTGTCGCCCATGCTGGGGTGCAGTGGTGCAATCTCAGCTCACTGCAACCTCTGCCTCCTGAGTTCAAGCAGTTCTTGTGCTTCAGCCTCCCGAATAGCTGGGACCACAGGCATGAGCCACCATGCCCTGCTAATTTTTGTATATTTTGTTTCCCATCCAAGTACTAACCAGGCCCGACCCTGCTTAGCTTCCAAGATCAGATGAGATCGGGCACGTTCAGGGTGGTATGGCTGTAGACTTTTGTATATTTTGTAGAGATGGGGTTTTAACTTGTGGGCTAGGCTGATCTCAAACTCCTGGCCTCAAGTGATCTGCCTGTCTTGGCCTCCCAAAATATGGGATTACAGGCGTGAGCCACTGTGCACGCCCGTCCCGTGGTTATTTTGTGTTTCAAAAGCTAGTAGACCTCATCATTCTTTGAGGCCTTCATTTCAGCTGTGTAGTTAAACTGAGCAAAGTGAGTTGCTCAGTTGTTTAAGTGCTTCTCATTTTTTCTTTTTGGAATAAAGAGCCAGAGTGACTGCCTGGATCAGTGTTTTAGAAGCCTTCCAGCCTACCCAGAGGACCAAATTAGATGGATCATATTCCTTTCTAGGTGGAATCTCTTTGGCATAGGTTTTTTTTTTTTTAATCCAATACTCTGAGTCTCACTTGAGGTGACCAATTATGTGCGACCTGTGGGTGTGTTGTTTCCTGGGCTTTATAAAACCCTGGAAACCCGAATGAAAATCACAGTGAATGAGCTTGTATACCTTGTACCTTCTCTGTTCTAGTTAAGCCCTTGTGCAGTTCACTGTCACTGCAGGGTAGACTTAGGCTAAATGACCCTCCCAAAACAGGCCTTGTCATAGTATTTAGTGCACATGTGACTACGTCTGTCTTAGGTCAGTAACACTGCCTGGCTCCAGCCCATTCTGACAGGTTGTTTGCTCTTTAACAAGCCTCCCCTTACTTACACACATGTCAGGATGTTTGTGGCTAGAAGGATAGCACTTTGTGAATATGCACATAATTCTTTAGAAAACCAGGGCAGATAGGAATGGAAGGGCTACCCCATAATAATTGATAAAGGTTCTCCTTGTATTACCAAATAATGACTTGGGTATGCATACATGGTAAATAGTCAGTGAACCGCTTCTTAAGATGAAATGGGGCCAGGCGCTGTGGCTCACGCCTATAATCCTAGCATTTTGGGAGGCTGAGGTGGGTGGATCCCTTGAGGCCAGGAGTTCAAGACCAGCCTGGCCAATATGGCGAAACCCCATCTCTACTAAAAATGCAATAATTAGCCAGGCATGGTGGCACACTCCTGTAATCCCAGCTACTTGGAAGGCTCAGGCAGGAGAATCACTTGAACCCAGGAGGTGGAGGTTGCAATGAGCCAAGATCATGTGCCACTGCACTCCAGGCTCAGCAACAGAGTGAGACTATGTCTCAAAAGAAAAAAGGAAAAAAAAGATCAAATGGGTTAAGATTTCAAACTGATAGTGTAACATGCATTTATAAATGACAATAAACAAGTCACAGATACTTTAGCTAAACTTCATTTACCTGCCCTGAACTAAGTCCACATGTCCTGAATTTAATAGGTTCCGAGATGCATGATAATCCTATAGGATTGCATTGGACAACTTTGGGGATTAAATGGGATATCAGTGGTCAGAGACCCTTGACTTTAGACCAAGACTAATTTAATGAAGAGTGATTATATAAAAATCACTTGCAGGCCGGGCGCAGTGGCTCATGCCTGTAATCCCAGCACTTTGGGAGGCCGAGCCAGACAGATCATAGGTCAAGAGATCCAGACCATCTTGGCCAACATGGTGAAACCCTGTCCCTACTAAAAATACAAAAATTAGCCGGGTGTGATGGCAGGCACCTGTAGTCCCAGCTACTAGGGAGGCTGAGGCAAGAGAATTGCTTGAACCTGGGAGGCAGAGGTTGCAGTGAGCTGAGATCGTGCCACCGCACTCCAGCCTGGTGACAGAGTGAGACTCCGTCTCAAAAAAGAAAAATCCCTTGCAGAAAATGAATTTATTTGTGGGTAATCTAGATAATGATCCACTTTAAATTCCCGAGAGCTTATATACATTCATAATAGTTATATGTTTCTAGAGTACACTTTTCAGTTTGTATAATTTGCATCTCTACGTCTTCATCATACGCTCATTAACCTTGTGAGATCGGAACAACAGAGGTCATGATTGGCCGTAAATTGTCAGTGAGCGAACAAAGAGTGACATTCCGTAGACTAAATTCACAACACATAAAAACTTCCCCTGGATTCTGTTGAGCCAGTACTTGTGGTAGTAAGACCTGTTAATCTTGGTTTTCTGGTTCCAAATTGTAAGCCCTTTTTACTAGCTCCTTTTACCTTTTTTGTTAATAAATCTGTCACTCCTTCCTTAGCTAAATCACTGTGGTGACCCCCTTTTAGCTTCTGGCAACAAAATAGAATACTGCTCCTTTGGCTTGTTGTCATTGTAAAGATACCAGATGGGGCTGTGCTCTAATAATTCTCATTTTTCAGGGCATCTCTCATTTCACACATGCAGGCTCCCACACATATAGCCACTCATAGGTAAGCCTGGGGAAATGGCATTCTTGCTTACCATCTTCCCTGTCCATTACCCAAGCCCCTGGAATCAGGCATTTTTGACATGGAGAATGATCACTTTTAGAAATAATTTAAGTCTTCCAGAAAAACGGGGTAATTCTCCTCAAGCTGCAAAGTGCCTCTGTCTTCCTACTATAGATTAAGGTTTGCAGAGCCCACACTTCTATGTCTGAATTAAATTTTCAACAAATGCTGTTGAAACTCCTTAAGAAAAAAAACCTTGATTAGTTTCAGGCAGGAATTTTGAACCTAGGACCGAATTCAGTCTAAAAATTGTTCTCCCACATTTTTGTGGCCTTTACTAACTTATTTACTTGCTGTTTTTAAAAATTCATTAATTAATGTATTAATCCTGGCTTCCTGATAGCTGTTTTTGAGCACCTGCAAAATGTATCTAGCCCTGCAGTGCGTGCTTATTTTCCTGTTAGGATTTTTGAATCAAGAGCTCATCCTTTTATTTCCTACAGATGCTGATTCCTATAATTGTGGGCATGATATAATTTTTTTAAAGTGCAAATTACCAATGACCCCAATATGATGAGCTCTCTGCAGTTTTTGTTTTCTGCTTGTTAAAGTCCCCATTAGTTACATCTTGTCATCTACTCCTAGAAATCAAGGCGATGGAAAAGTAAGCGTGAGGGATCGGACTCTGGCAATCGACAGATCAAGGCTGCTGGGAAAGTCATCATCCAGGATGTTGCCTGCCTCCTGCCTGTTCACAAATCACTGGGAGAACTGTACATGTAGGTACAAAATTTCAAGTATGCTGTACCTATCACTTAGCCAGGATTAGCCAACCTTTTTTTTTTTTTTTTTTTTTTTTCCCGAGTGTGGGAATCCTTTCTTCAAAAGCAGTTTTAGGAGAAGCCCGATATATTAGCTTTCTGTTGCTTCGTACAAATTCCCACAAACTTAGCAGCTTCCAACAGCATTCATTTATTATTTGTCAGTTTTTGTGGGTCTATAGTCTGGGCACAGCTTATCTGCGTCCTTGCTCAGGGTCTCAGTAAGCTGAAATCATGGTGTTGGCCAGGCAGTGATTTCATTCAATGCACAGGATCCTCTTCCAAGCTTGTTCAGATTGTTAACAGAATTCAGACCCTTGCAGCTGTAGAACTCGTCTGCAAATTTCATCTTGAGACCACTAGGAATGGCTCAAGATGAAATTATTAATGCTTCACGTTCCCTCTAAGGTTTCACCTGATGGGGTCAGCCCCACCCAGGACAGTCTCTCTGTAGGTGACTTCAAAGTCAGTTGCTTAATAACATAATCACAGAAGTGATATCCCATCAAAATTCACTGGTGTCGCCCACATTCAGAGGGGGTGGAGTATTGTATAAGGCATGCATGCTACTTTACAACCCGGAGCTCCTGTGTTTTATCAGAGCTGTTACACAAAGCAGAGCTGCTTTTGCTTGGATGGAAGTGAGAGGTGAGTAATCCGCATGCAGAGGCCGCCTGCAGTTCCCCTGCCTCTTTCTAAAGCTGAACTTAGAACAAAGTGTTTCCTCTGTCGTAGATACATAGCACACCACTCTTTCTGTTAGGGACCATAGTCAATGCTGCACGTCTTTCAGTTCATTTTTATTCAACCCTCAAGGCTTGGAACTCCACAGAAAAGCTGGTTGGTAAATTGGTATTTGAGTATGGCCTCCTCCTGACTTTAAAGAGGTGAGCAATTTCACCTTCCCTGGGCTGGAACGCAGGGAAGCTGTGTTAGCATTAGCTCTAGTTGAGCTTTTCCTCCAAGTCAGATAGGAAGGGGTTTCAAGGCCAACACAGAATAAAACATTTTGAGTGGCAACCAGAGAGGTGGTTTCTCATCCGTTGGTTAAACTGGGAGTCGTCGTTTAGGAAGTTACACTAGAAATATCTTTCAATTCTTTTATAAAAATTTCAGATTGAATGTGAACGATATCCAGGAAACATGTCAGAAGAACGCTGCTTCTGCCTTGCTTGTTGGAAGAAAGGATCTGGTCCAGGTAGTGTACATCCCTTTTGGTGGAGATTTGGATTTTTCCTCAGGAGCAGACTGTTTTTACTTTGTCATTGGTGTTAAATGACATTTTCAAAGTGTGTCTTGTTTTGGAATTCCTCTTCCATTTTCTTTGCCAGTCTGTAGGGTTAGAGTGGCTTTCCAAATGCTGGAAATTCTTCTTTGTAGTACTTAGTTGGGAAGGTCCTAAAGCGTCCATTAATATATTTTTAAATTATATATCTCTTTTCTATTCCAGTGTCATGCTGAGTGCTATGTAGCTAAACTTGGGTGTCTATTTCTTTGCCATTTGAACCCTCAGTTCTTTTTTTTTCTTTTGAAAATGCTCTAGTTTATACAATATTTACCAAAGTGTTCCTTTAGATAGAGATGTTCAGTTTTAAAATAGGATCTAACATTTCAAATGTTTAAATTTTCTTTATCTTTGCAGCAACATGTCAGTGTATTATAACAAACTATCCCTGTACTTTTTTAAACGGCTTAACTGAGATGTAGCCCACCTACCATGCAGTTTACCCATTTAAAATATACCATTCAGTGGTTTCATTTCATTTTGTTTTTTGTGATGGAGTCTCATTCTGTCTTCTAGGCTGGAGTTCAGTGGCATGATCTCGGCTCACTGCAACCTCCGCCTCTTAGGTTCAAGCGATTCTCCTGCCTCAACCTCCCCAGTAGCTGGGATTACAGGTGCATGCCACCATGGCTGGCTAACTTTTGTACTTTTTAGTAGAGATGGGGTTTCACCATGTTGGCCAGGGTGGTCTTGAACTCCTGACCTCAAGTGATCTGCCCACCTTGGCCTCCCAAAGTGCTGGGATAACAGGTGTGAGCCACCGCACCTGGCCACCATTCAGTGGTTTTTAGTGGATTCAGAATTGCACAACCACCACCACAAACACACTTTTAGAACATTTTTCTGCTCCCCGGAATAAATCCTGAAACCCTTAATTGTTACCTCATACTCTCTTCTTCCTCCCAGCCCTAGGCAGCCATGAACCTACTTTCTGTCTCTATTGCACAGTTTTTTTTATGTTGTTTGTTTGTCTGTTGCCCAGGCTGCAGTGCAGTGGCACGTTCACTTACTGCAACCTCCACCTTTTGAGCTCAAGTCACCCTGGTACTTCAGCCTGCCATGTACCTGGAACTACTGGCAAGTGCTACCATGCCTGGCTAATTTTTGCATTTTTCGTAGATACAAGATTTCACCATATTGGCCAGGCAGGTCTTGAATGCCTGACCTCAAGTGATCTGCCCACCTCAGCCTCCCAAAGTGCTGGCATTATAGGTGTGCGCCAGTGCACCTGGCTCTATTTCACTCTTATTCTTTGGTGTGAGGATTAGGGTGAGCAGTGGAGACTGTTAATACTAGCTGTTTTTCTGTGGGCTGTTTGTCCCCGATAACCCTCCAAAGGAATCAAAGGCAAGTTCTTTCCCTGATGTTTTACCTGATTTAAAAATCACTAAGATTTCCATTGTCTTATCTTAAACACTGTCAGGTCTCTGCCTGAAACCCTTTTAGGAGAAATTCGGTGATGGATTTAATCTGGTTCTATAAGGACCAAGCTACCTAGGTCCTGTGAACGCTGAGAAGGCAACAGGAGGTGGCAGAAATAGTGCAGCATTGGTAGCAGAGACCTGGGCTCGACTTGGTTTCCTAGCAAAATGACCTGCGCAAGTTACTCCAGTGTCTCTCACTCTCTGCATATGTTTGTCAGCGGAGAACCTTAAGAACTGAGAACTTTATAAGGTTGGTGAGAAGACTGGTAAATGCAATACTAAGGCAGGACCATGGTTTGTATTCTGAAAAAACATTCTCAGCCAGGTGTGTTGGCTCAAGCCTATAGTCCCAGCACTTTGGGTGGCTGAGGTGGAAAAAATCGCTTGAGCTCAGGAGTTTGAGACCAGCCTGGGCAACATGGCAAGAACCCATCTCTATGCAAAATTTTTAAAGATAAGCCAGGCATCATGGTGCACGCCCATAGTCCCACTGCTTGGGAGGCTGTGTTGGGAGGATTGCTTGAGGCCAGGAGGTCGAGGCTATAGTGAGCATGTTCACACTGGCTGCACTCCAACCTGAGTGACAAAGTGAGGCCCTGTCTGAGAAAAAAATTCCCTAGGGAAATTTACTTCCTAAGGTGTTTTTTTTTTTGAGACAGAGTCTCACTGTGTCTGTCCAGGCTGGAGTGCAGTGGCGCTGTCTCAGCTTACTGCAACTTCTGCCTCTTGGGTTTACGTGATTCTCATGCATCAGCCTCCTGAGTAGACGGGATTATAGGCACATGCCACCACACCTGGCTAATTTTTATATTTTTAGTAGACTGGGTTTCATCATGTTGGCCAAGCTGGTCTCGAACTTCTGACCTCAAGTGATCTACCTGTCTTGGCCTCCCAAAGTGCTGGGATTACAAGCATAAGCCATCGTGCCCAGCCCTAAGGTTTTTTTAATGTTAAGTTTTGAGTACTTTTCTGGCAGAGTAGATTGGGAAGAGCAGACCAGCCCTTGTGAAGTGGGGAAGACTCTTGTGTTCAAACAGACCCAGCTGAAATCAACCTGGACCCTGGCACTTTTTTGTTGTGTCTTGGCAGGCAAGCCGCCAAATCCTTCTGCACTTCGTTTCTTGGCTATAAAATGGAAACGATACTTCTGAAGTCATTATGAGAACTAAATAAGATAATGCATGAAAAGTTGCATAAACATATCTGGTAGATCAGATACCCATGTACATGGTACAGTTGCTGCTGCTGTTCTTGTAACTGTCATCATTTATGACATGGTGCAGCTGAATGGGACAGAGAAATGACATCAGTGAACATGCTTAAAGAATTTTTTTGTTCTTTTTGCTTTTTTTTTTAAACATATAGAGATGTGGTCTTTCACTGTGTTGCCCAAGCTGGTCTCGAACTCCTGGCCTCAAGTGATCCTCTTGTCTTGGCCTCCCAAAGTGTTGGGATTATAGGTGTGAGCCACCACACCCAGCCTTTTTGTTCTTTTTGCTCATGTTGAAGATATGCTTACTATTTTGCCAAGAGTTGCAGAAGTAAATGCAAGAGTCACTATTTCTGTTAAGGCATTCAGGAAATGTGGATTCTAAGTGAGGAAATAACATGCCTCTGTTGTCAGCCAGGGTAGTAAACATCTTATCTTATCCCAGAAAGTCATTAACTTCCTCTAGTACTGATTTACTGGGTCATTGATTACCAAGATGAATGTATTTCAAGTTTCTTCTTTTGACAATACTTTCTATATATTTCTCAAGTATGTTGGTGCCACATGATTTAATTGATTTTCTTTTCTTTTCTTTTTTTTGTGAGACGGAGTCTCACTGTCACCCAGGCTGGAGTGCAGTGGCATGTGGCTCACTGCAATGTCCGCCTCCCAGGTTCAAGGTATTCTCTTGACTCAGCCTCCTGAGTAGCTGGGACTACAGGCATGCACCACCACGCCTGGCTAATTTTTGTATTTTTAGTAGAGACAGGGTTTCACCATGTGGCCAGGATGGTCTCGATCTCCTGGCCTCATGATCTACCCACCTTGGCCTCCCAAAGTGCTGGGATTACAGGTGTGAGCCACTGTGCCCAGCCTTTAATTGATTTTCATGCCTAAAGCTTCTCTCCCTGTTTCTCATTATCTTTGTTTGCTTATTCTTTCTCCTTAGATTGTAAACTCCTTGATTCAAAGTCCCTATCTTCTTTGTTTTGAGCGTTTCAGAGTCTAGTGTGGTGTTTTCCAGTCAATGGGCATACAGTGACGTGCTGCTACTAAGAAAGGTTTCCAGAAGCAGGATTTGATTTTGAAAGTATCGAGGGGGTGGGGGGTTTGCTTATGATATGATGTGTTTAGCTTGTGCCTTGGATTTCATAGACACTTAGTGGCTATCGGTTTCTGCTCAGTGGCTCTCAGCCCCATGGGATTTCAAGTTGGGAGGTATTCCTCAGATTTGTTGTCAACAAAAAGAAAGCCAAATCCATTTTGCGTGGCCTATGATTTTTATTCTTACTTTTTAGTTTCAGAGAGGATACTGAAACTTTTATAATAAAGGCACCAAAGTTTTTCATTATTTAGGTGAAGAAGGACGGATCTTAAATGTGTTGTAGACTGCCTTTTTTTTTCCTCCCTGCCAGCCCAACTTACTGACGAAGCAGCATTTCTTTTTTTTGGAGACAGAATCTGGCTCTATCGCCCAGGCTGGAGTGTAGTGGTGTGACCCTGGCTCACTGCAACCTCTGCCTCCCAGGTTCAAGCAATTGTCCTGTCTCTGCCTCCCAAGTAGCTGGAATTACAGGTATGCACCACCATGCCTGGCTAATTTTTGAATTTTTAGTAGCAACGGGTTTCGCCATGTTGGTCAGGCTGGTCTCAAACTCCCGACCTCAAGTGATCCATCCGCCTCGACATCCCAGAGGGCTGGGATTATAGGTGTGAGCCACCGTACCTGGCCTGAAGCAGCATTTCAAAAAGTCATTTGAGACTGGATGTGGTGGCTCACACCTGTAATCCAAGCATTACACAATTGGAGGACTGAGGTGGATATATCACTTGAGGCCAGGAGTTTGAGCCAGCCTGGCCAACATGGTGAAACGCTGTTGCTACTAAAAATATAGAAATTAGTCGGGTGCAGTGGCTCACGCCTGTAATCCTAGCTACTTAGGAAACTGAGGCAGGAGGATCACTTGAACCCAGGAGGCAGAGGTTGCAGTGAGCTGTGATTATGCCACGGCACTCCAGCCTGGTGACAGAGTGAGACTCATGTCTCAAAAAAATAAAATAAAAAGTCATGTGAGTTAGTGGCTAAGTAGATGACCCATTGAAATTACTACACTGTCATTTCTCTGGTTTGCTTAATGAAACGTTTTTAAGGCTAGTGTTTCTTCAAACCTTAGAGTGCACGTAAGTCCCCTAAGGAGTTGGTTAAAATGTAAACACTGATTCAGTAGGTCTAAATGGACCCTAAATTTCTGCATTTCAATAAGCTTCCAGCTTTTGCTGCCCTCAGAGTAGCAAAGCATGGGGTTTTTATTTGGAGGACAGGTGGGGTTGCTTCATGTTTCTGTTCCTGTATTTCCCAGTTTGAGTTTGAATTTCTCTTTGATCTGTCCAGGTTTGGTCACTGGCTACAGTAGCTACAGATCTTTGCCTTGGTCCGAAATCTGACCCAGATTTGGAAACACCTTGGGCTCGACATCCATTCGGGCGGCAGCTGCTGGAGTCCCTGTAGGTTTTGAGAGCTAAAAGTGAGAAAAATGAGTGACGTCCATTTTCGGTCTGTAAACACTTGAAATGTCATCACCTAAGAGAAGGGTGCAAAGGCCCGAGAAATGAGAGAAAGGAATGGGCTCTTTCCTTAAGTGCTGAAATGGTTTCTGTGCAGGACAAACTTCTTAGAGCACACAGAACTATACAACACTTGTCATCTGTAACAGGGATTTGGGACCCCTGAGAGATTCATGCTTTAGTCCATAATCACATCAGTCTGAACACAGGAGTTCGAGCTCATGAGATGGTGAGTTTCTTCTTGAGAGCTGTAGGGTCTCACCCTTGATAATGGATTGGAGAACGGCGTGTTGGTGTTCATGTTTGCCAAAGACCATGCATGATGCTTTCACCCTTTTAGGCAATTAGAGAAAACATTGATTTTGTGTTTAGTTCATTGCACTGACACATGGAAAACTGGGATATACTGTACAAAATATTTAACACCAAGTAACACCACTTGAATCTCCATAACTTGGAGGCCCAGGGCCTGGTTAGAGAACTGCTCCTGCCTTCAGGTTGAGGTTCGTTTTACTTAGGACTCAAGGCCACCCTCGGACACGTGTTCATGCTTCCGCTTCCTCATCGTTCACAAGGGATGATCAGGTTTGCTCGCCCTACTTGGTGTAAAACTCAAATAACGATAGTGAGTGTGAAAACATAAATACTAGACATTTAGTGCTAGGAGGACAGTACTATTCCTCATTCTCAGAGGCAAAGCCCCTTTGATTCCTTTTTCACATTCTAGCATAATCTTCCTGAAGGGACAGAGGAGATTATGAGGGGTAGAAACACTCCTTGTTGTTCTTGCTTTTTTTTTTGAGACAGAGTTTTGCTCTTGTTGCCCAGACTGGAATTTAGTGGCGCAATATTGGCTCACTGCGGCCTCTGCTTCCTGGGTTCAAGCAATTCTCCTGCCTCGGCTTCCGGAGTAGCTGGGATCACAGACATGCACCACCACGCCTGGCTAATTTTGTATTTTTAGTAGAGAAGTGGTTTCTCCATGTTGGTCAGGCAGGTCTTGAACTCCCGACCTCAGGTGATCCACCTGCCTTAGCCTCCCAAGGTGCTGGGATTACAGGCGTGCCCAGCCAGTTGTTCTTACTTCATAGCTCATCTTCATAACTGCACCGCAGAGTCTGCTGCCTGCTAGCATACTGTGGTAGTCCAGTGTCCTCTGAGCTCCTTCATACAGCTTTAGGTTATATAAATGACATGTATGGGAATCCCCCAAAAGCAGTGTGATTCTTCCTTGGAGCTGGGGAGACAGAGGGAGCATGTCTTGCCTTGCTCAGGTGTCAGGTGTCTACTTAGTTCTTGGAGAAGCCGCATTTATATTTAGGCCCATGCCTGAATGTCAGCCACAGGTTTTCACATGTGTCCTTTAGATCATCTGTAATACATTGATGCCTTAGATTCCAAAGCAAGTCTAGGCAAACTCAAAAGTAGGTCAGACTGCTGGATCTGTAGAACGCCCCATTTCCTGATGGGGGTTTTTGAGGCAGATTCAAGAATCCTCCCGTCCCACCCCTGTGGCAGTAACCCACCATGACTGTGATCGTTCTTCCTGCCTCAGTCCCTCCTCTTCACTTGTTTTCTTTCCTCTCACCTTTTCCTCAGGTTGGCTCATTATTGCCAGCTCCGGGATGTTCAGACGCTGGCCATGCTCTGTAGTGTGTTCGAAGCCCAGTCTCGGCCTCAGGGGATACCAAACCCCTTTGGGCCTTTTCCCAACCGTTCTTCTAATCTTGTGGTGTCCCATAGTCGATATGTAAGTTTGTTGTTTTCTGGTTTTGTCTGATGTTTTCTTTTCTTTTTTTTTTTTTTGAGACAGAATCTCACTCTGTCACCCAGGCTGGAGTGCAATGGCACAATCTCAGCTCATTGCAGCCTCTGCCTCCTGGGTTCAAGCAATTCTCATGTCACAACTTCCTGTGTAGCTGGGATTACAGGTGCCCACCACCACTCCCAGTATATTTTTGTATTTTTAATAGAGATGAGGTTTCACCATGTTGGCCAGGCTGGTCTTGAACCCCTGACCTCAGGTGTTCTGCCTGCCTTGGCCTCCCAAAGTGCTTGGATTGCAGGCATGAGCCGCCACACCCAGCCTGATGTTTTCTTCATGTGAACTGTCATGGGGAACGGTGTTCTCATGCTAGTCCTGTTGGTTCTTCTCTTCCCATCTGCAGCCTAGCTTTACCTCTTCTGGTTCCTGCTCCAGTATGTCAGACCCAGGGCTCAACACGGGCAGCTGGAACATAGGTTTGTATGGAAACATCTTAGCCCACGCTGGATTTTGTAGTTCTCTGATAGCTGTGTGTATGTAACCTTTAGTTGATGCTTATTCTTATTTTTTCTTGTTTCTCATTTCTCTTCACATTTACTGTGATGGGGTACTCTTGCTGGGGGCCTGGCTTTGCGTGTGGAACAGGCCACTTGCTGCACGTCTTTGTACCTTGCTGTGTTGCTTGTTATCTTGTAACCTTGAGAAACTGACAGTGGGAACCACTGTTCACCCCAAAACCTGACCCTTAACATTCTCCTTCTCATGCCCTTTCCATGATCCTCTGCCACCTGCCGCTTCCCATGACCGCTTTCAGTGTAGACAAATGCAGCTGGGCCTGAGTCCAGCTGATCTGAAAGCTGTTGGCTGAGTTGGTGTATTTGTGTTTTCTGGATTGAGATAAAAACAACAAAAAAACATTTTTTAGAATGATCTTAATTTTCCTGATTTCAAAAGTAGCACATGCCCAGCGAAGAAAAGCAGACAAAAAGTATTAGAGAAAATAGTAACTGTTGCTCTCCCACCTAGGAGTGTCATCCATTAACATTCTAGAACATTTTCATCCATTCTTTGTGTGCAGAAGTGTGGTTTTTCCATATATGTGATTTTGTGTTCTATTTTTAATTGTATCACGAGCATATATTGTTCAAAAAGTCTTTGTAAATAATGACTACATATTCTACTGTATCTCTGTGCCACCATTTGCTTTATTTATTTTTTGAGATGGAGGTTCGCTCTTGTTGCCCAGGCTGCAGTGCAATGGCATGATCTCAGCTCACTGCAACATCTGCCTCTTGGGTTCAAGCGATTCTCCTGCCTCAGCCTCCCCAGTAGCTGGGATTACAGATGCCCACCACAACGCCCAACTAATTTTTGTTATTTTTAGTAGAGATGGGATTTTGCCATGTTGACCAGGCTGGTCTCGAACTCTTGTCCTTAGGTGATCCACCCGCCTTGGCCTCCCAAACTGTTGAGGTTACAGGTGTGAGCCACTGTGCCTGGCCTGATTTATTTTTTAATTTTTAGTTTTTTGAGATGGAGTCTCACTCTGTTGCCCATGCTGGAGTGCAATGTTGTGATCTTGGCTCACTATACCCTCTGCCTCCCAGGTTCAAGTGATCCTCCTACCTCAGCCTCCTTAGTAGCTGGGATTACAGACACGTGCCAGTATGCCTGGCTAATTTTTGTTTTTCTTTTTCTTGAAAGTAGAGACGTGGTTTCACCTGACCTGAGGTGATCTGCCCACCTCAGCCTCCCAAAGTGCTGGATTCCAGATATGAGCCACTGTGCCCAGCCCATCATTTGCCTTAGCATCAGTGTGTACTTAGCTATCATGTTCTCTTAGTAATAAATACTTGGGCAAAAAGGTAAGGGTAGGAAAGAGTTCTGTTTAGTTATATTTCTCAGAATATTCAGCCTTGCTTGCTTTTCTTCTGGGAAATCCACTGGCTACATGCCATCTTATGAGACTCTTCAGACATTTTCCATGCCTTGTCTGATTGCCATCTTCCCTTCCCATTCGATTTTCTTCAGCAGGAAGAGAGGCAGAGCACTTGTCTTCCCCTTGGGGAGAATCCTCACCAGAAGAGCTCCGCTTTGGGAGTCTGACCTACAGTGATCCCCGTGAGCGAGAACGTGATCAGCATGATAAAAATAAAAGGTAAACACCTTCCCAGGTGAGAGCTGCAATGCCAGGACTCCAACTCTTTTTTTTTTTTTTTTTAATGAGACAGAGTCTTACTCTTGCGCCAGGTTGGAGTGCAGTGGCGCGATCTTGGCCCACTGCAACCTCCGCCTCCCAGGGTCAAGTCATTCTTCTGCCTCAGCATCCTGAGTAGCTGGCATTATAGGCACGTACCACCATGACCAGCTAATTTTTTGTATTTTTAGTAGATACAGGGTTTCGCCATGTTGCCCAGGCTGGTCTCAAACTCCTGACCTGAAGTGATCCACCCAGCTGGGCCTCCCAAAGTTCTGGGAGTGACAGGTATGAGCCACTGAGTGTGGCCAGGACTCCTGCTTTAAGAAGGGTATATTAAATACCATTTAGTATCAAGGCTGTTTTTTCTTTCTTTCTTTCTTTTTTTTTTTTTTTTTTTTTGAGACAGAGTTTTGCTCTTATTGCCCAGGCTGCAGTGCAGTGACGCGAGCTTAGCTCATCGCAACCTCCACCTCCCGGGGTTCAAGCCATTCTCCTGCCTCAGCCTCCTGAGTAGCTGGGATTACAGGTGTGTGCTACCACACCCAACTAATTTTGTATTTTTAATAGAGATGGGGTTTCTCCATGTTGGTCAGGCTGGTTTCGAACTCCTGAACTCAGGTGATCTGCCAGCCTTGGCCTTCCAAAGTGCTGGGATTATAGGCATGAGCCATTGCACCTGGCCCTGTTTTTTCTTAAGGTAACTGACAGGAAATCTATTTACCTTTATTCAGGCTCCTGGACCCTGCCAACGCCCAGCAATTTGATGACTTTAAAAAATGCTATGGGGAAATCTTGTACCGTTGGGGTCTGAGAGAGAAGCGCGCTGAAGTGCTGAAGTTTGTCTCCTGTCCTCCTGACCCTCACAAAGGGATTGGTGAGTGTGAATTTCTCTCTCTTCCTGTCACTGTCTGAAAGATCCTGTCATTTAATTTGTCCACAACGTCAGACTTGGAATGAAGTTTCAGCTTCTCATTTCTAAGCAGAAATTTCTGAGGCATTTTGAATCTGTTCCAAGGTTTCATTTCATCACAGGATGAAATTCTCTACTGCAGTAGAAGAAGTTTATATACAGTACTACAACATGGATCAGAGGGATGGCTTGTTCTTCATTTATTCCTTGATATGTCCAGCTCCTCTTAGGCACAGTGCCCACACATTCCTTCCCCCGACCCACAGAGCTTATAGCTGAGTGGGGGGGGTTATGAAATAATTTCAAATTGTGAAATAAGCAAACAAAAATGATGTGGGGGCAGGGAGAACAGGGAGGAGAATCTTAGAAGAGGAATTGATGTGTGTTGGGAAGGCCTCCAAGGAGCTGAGGTCTGAAGGTTTAAAGGAACCATGGAGCCATCGGTGCAGTGGTGAAAAGAACGTCCCAGGCTGAGGGGGCAGGCCCTGGAGAAATGACTGTCATCGTGAACAGGTGAGAAAGCAGCACGGTGTGGCCGGAGTACAGTGGGAGAGAAGAGTGGCATCAGATTAGAGTGTAGAATACTTAGGGTTGTGTCAGGCAGGGACTTGTAAGTTGTGGTAAAGAATTTGCATTCGGCTGGGCATGGTGACTCATGCCTGTAATCCCAGCACTTTGGGAGACCAAGGCAGACAGATCACTTGAGGCCAGGGGTTTGAGACCAGCCTGGCCAACATGGTAAAATCCTGTCTCTACTAAAAATACAAAAATCAGCCAGGTGTGATGGTGCATGCATGTAATCCAAGCTTCTTGGGAGGCTGACACAGGAGAATTGCTCGGGAGGTGGAGGTTGCACTGAGCCGAGATCGCACCATTGCATTCCAGCCTGGGCGACAGAGCGAGACTCTGCCTCAAAAAAAAAAAAAAAGAGTTCCAATTGTATCCTAAGTCCAATGGTAAGCTCACAAGGGCATAAGAAATAAGCAACGTGCTTTGGGTTATGTTTGTTTAAGAGGGTCACTTTGGCCTTCCTATGAGGAAAGGATGGGAGGAGGGCAGGGCAGAAGCAGGAAGCCCATTCAGAGACATTGCAGCTGTCAGAGGCAGACAACCTGGTCTGAGGGTGGCATCGCTGCAGCTGGGGAGAGATGATGGATGGGTTATATTTTAGAGCTAGACTCAGTATAACTTGCTTATAACTTGGATGTGGGTTCAGGAAGAGAGATGATAATTGGACGATTTCTAGATTTCCAGCATGAGCAACTGGGTCAGTGGCAGTGCCAGCTTCCCAAATGGAAAAGACTGGAAGAACGCTCTGGGCTTATTTTGGGATCATCAGTGATGTGTGTGAGATAGCAGACTGGAGAAGTCGCCTAGGCAGTTGGATGTGAGTTGGGTTCTCAGAGGAGAGACTGGGGCTAGAACCGAGAATTTGGGGATCCCCAGAATGTAGATGGCATTAGCTGTGGGAATGGGTGTGTTGACCTTGGAGCTGGGGCTGGGAAGGAAGAGCGCAGGGAGAGGCCACCCGCCCTGGGTCTTGAGAGAAAGCAACACTTGGAGCTTGAGTCCTAGAGGAAGAACCAGACAGAGAGAGTTAGAATGAGACCTCAGTGAGTGTTGAGGAAAAGCAAGACTCGTGAAAGAATCTGAGCCTAGAGAGGTGTTTTACAGGATGAAATAGAAGGCTGTCAAAGGTAGCCAACTAAACATACCTTGACTTCCTCTTCTCCAGGACCCCACCAAAATGTCTGTACAGAGCTCTTCTGAAAAACCTAACTGTACAAGCAGTAATGTTGGCAATAAAATTTGGGATCTGGGGAGCAGATAGCTTAGTGGCAGCTGATCTTGTAGGGCCTGGTAAAGCTGAACCCTGAACTGTACCCAGAAGCACAGAACATACTGCAGAGCCCTCACATGGCTCAGGGACGCTGGACGCGGCTTGGCAGTGAGAGTAAAAGCAGGGCTGCTGTTTAATTGTCCTTGTAGGATCCCCAGATTCCTACTCCTAGTTTGCAGAGCAGCTTATTATTCTTCCTCTACCCTAGAAGTTTATTCTCTAGAGAAGGTAAACACGTTTCCAGTTTGAAAGGGCCCACCAAGCACCTGACGTAATGAATGAAAAAAACATTTACAGAGAAGACCCTAGAAGCTTCCAGAGCAGAAACACAGGTCACATTCAAAGGATGAGGAATATGATTGTACTGGAAATCAAATGACAAGGTGGCAGTGCCTTCAGCATTCTCAAGAAGATGGTTTCAAATTAGCCAGATGTGGTGGCGGGCACCTGTAATCCTAGCTACTCGGAAGGCTGAGCTGCAAGAATCACCTGAACCCGGAGGCAGAGGTTGTAGTGAGCCGAGATCGTGCCATTGTACTCCAGCCTGGGCAACAGAGCGAGACTGTCTCAAAAAAAAAAAAAAAAAAGATGGCTTTTAACTGAGAATTCTGTATTTGAAATTATGAATTAAGTGTGAAAGTAAACCTTAGCCCCTCTTAGAAGGAGGAACGGTTTCCAACTAGGTAATGAGGGAGTCAAAATGCTGGTGAAGGGAGATCTCTATGACAGACTGAGAGAGACCAGTGCAGATTGGGGCTTCAGGAGCCTTGGCTCCAAGAGACGAAAACAGAAAATACGTAGTGGATTCAGTGTTCCATGTGTTTGTAGAAAATTCATGTATTTGAGGGAGAGTTTGGTGATGAATTATTATTTTTTTGTTTCTTTTTTTTTTGAGATGGAGTCTTGCTCTGACCCAGGCTGGAGTGCAGTGGTATAATCTCAGCTCACTACAGCCCCTGCCTCCTGGTTCAAGCAATTCCCTGTAGCTGGTACTACAGGCGTGTGCCACCACACCCAGATGCTTTTTGTATTTTAGTAAGGATGGGGTTTCACCATGTTGGCCAGGATGCTCTCAACCTCCTGACCTTGTGATCTGCCCACCTCAGCCTCCCAAAGTGCTGGGATTACAGGCGTGAGCCACTGTGCTCAGCCTATTTTTTTTATTTCTTAAATTTATTTTTTATTTTTAGTTTTTTGAGACAGGGTCTCGCTCTGTCACCCAGGTGGGAGTGGAGAGGCGTGTTGTCGGCTCACTGTAAACTCCACCTCCCTGAGCTCAGGTGATCCTCCTGCCTCAGCCTCCTGAGTAGTTGGGACCACAGGTGTGTGCCACCATGCCCAGCTAATTTTTGTATTTTTAGTAGAGACAGGGTTTTGCCTTGATGTCCAGGCTGATCTCAAACTCCTGGCCTCAAGTGATCTTCCTGCCTTCGTTTGCTAGTGTGCTGGGATTACAGATGTGAGACATCATGCCTGGTAGTTTCAAGAAACATACTAGAGTAATATGTCAGTTTAGGTAGTGACTATCAAGGATTATTTTAATATGGATTATGTTGGCATATGTACTTGAAGAAATGTAAAGGCCCAAAATGCTATTTGGGCAATATATTTTTTCATTTTCAGATCATCTAAATGCTTGAAAGTATCTCAGGAAAAGATTAATGATGGCCTGGAGCAATTTGTCTTTTAAAAATTAGTTTTCAGGAAAACATATGAATCATGGAGATATTGAGCTGATGAATCAACCCATCAATCAGCTAAACCCTAATTGACATCTGCTGTTAGGAAGTGTCATGGTGGATTCTGTGGGATGTACAAAGAAATATGAAGTGTGGTTTGGGGGGTTCAAGATGTCTGTAGTATAGGCAGAGAGTCTGAAACATAAGCTCAGGAAGACCTGATGATAGTCAAGGATGAATAACGTATCCTAATTCCAATAAAACCAGTGTCACAGATTTATAAAGCGGGCAGGATTGTGAAAGATGGACTCACAGACAAAAGCAGTAAAAAGTATTTTCTTTTCTTTTGAGACCAGGCTTTGCTCTTGTTGTCCAGGCTGGAGTGCAATGGTACGATCTTGGCATGCCGCAACCTCTGCCTCCTGGGTTCAAGCGATTCTCCTGCCTCAGCCTCCCAAGTAGCCGGGATTATAGGCATGCACCACAACACCTGGCTAATTTTGTATTTTTAGAAGAGATGGGGTTTCTCCATGTTGGTCAGGCTGGTCTTGAACTCTTGACCTCAGGTGATCTGCCCTCCTCGACCTCCCATAGTGCTGGGATTACAGGTGTGAGCCACCACGTCCGGCCTCTCTTTTTATTTATTTATTTATTTTTTTGAGATGGAGTCGTGCTCTGTCACCCAAGCTGCAGTACAATGGCACAGTCTCAGGTCACTGCAGCCTCTGCCTTCCAGGTTCAAGTGATTCTCCTGCCTCAGCCTCCCAAGTTGCCGGAATTACAGGCATGTACCACCACACCTGGCTAATTTTGTATTTTTAGTAGAGATGGGGTTTCTCCATGTTGGTCAGGCTGGTCTTGAACTCTTTTTTTTTTTTCTTGGCGGGGAGGAAGTGGGGAGGGAGGGAAGAAGGACGGTAGGGAGGAAGGAAGGGATGAAGGAAGGAAGGAAGGGAGGAAGCGGGGAGGGAGGGAGGGAGGGAAGGGAAGGAAGGAAATCAAGCAATGAGAGAAACATTGCCGACCTGGATCTAGAGGTTTACAAGTTGATTTCTTTTTTTTTGAGAGAAGGAAAGAAAAAAAAATAAGTAAAGGAGAGGAAGAAACAGGAAGAGAGAGAGGGAGAGTAAATGGAAATATTGCTTTATTTTGAAAAAAATTGAGTATTAATAATGGCCAATCAATGTTTCATTTAAACTTATGGGTAGGTGTGATGTGGTATTGACAAGAATGTATATTTTGTGTATTTGAAGTGGAGAGCTCTATGAATATTTATTAAGTTTACTTGTTCTGGATCTGAGTTCGAGTCCTTGATATCCTTATTAATTTTCTGTCTCATTGAATCTAAGTCTCGTATCTGGGTGTTAGGATCGTTAGCTCTTGTTGTTGCATTGATCCTTTTACCACTATATCTTTGTTGCTTTAAAATCTATTTTCTCCGATAC